ACCAACAACTCGGACTTAACGCGACGTGAGGCTTCATGTTCCGATTCGGAGCCACGTCGGGAACAAAGCGAATCAATCTCGTCGATGAAAATTGTGCTCGGCGCGTAGAAGCGTGCCATCTCGAACAATAATCGTACCATTTTCTCAGATTCTCCACGATATTTAGAGGTCAGAGTTGAAGACGATACATTGAAAAACGTTGTGCCGCATTCTGTTGCTACAGCTTTAGCCAACATAGTTTTACCGGTACCTGGGGGTCCAACCATGAGCACGCCCTTCCAGGGACGTCGAATACCCTGAAAAAATAAAAATAACGAAACATCGGTTAAGATAATTTGTAACAAAAATTTATAAAGGTTGGATAAGTAATTTTTAACCAAAAAAATGCAAACAACTTCAATTCTCATATACAATTTTAGCAGTACCGTTAATTTCTATATAATTCAATGATGGGATCTAAACCAAAATAGTATGGCACCACCCTTGAGGTACCACGTGATCCAAAGTTAACAAATATATATAAACAAAAAAAGTATTCCGACGAATTGATAACCTCCTCCTTTTCTTGAAGTCGGTTAAAAAATAGATTACAACAAAGCATTATTTCGATACACGCAGAACAGTTATGAGTCATAGAAATTTAAATAGATGTTTACTATTACTAAAACGTGTATTAAAGTATTCAAAGCCGGTTAATTATGCCATACAACCAAAATATAAATCAAAACCTATTCAACAGCCATAACGTTTATATTTTTACTTATTTTAAATCTGTAGGTATTCTATGTTGGGCGCTATTTCTAACAAAAGCACGTAATCTTTCGTCTCAAGTTAATATTATTTCAAATGAATTACTCAGCCTTTTAGTTCTTCTATACACACCTTAAAATAGTCCGGCATTAGCATCGGCAACACAACTGCTTCCTCCAGCAAGCGTTTAGCATCTTGCAAATCGGCTATATCGTTCCAACGCACCTTTGGGTTTCGCTGTAGAATATCACGCTCTTTGAAATAGAAAAAATGCATACAAAGTATGTATGTATAAATAAACGCTGATTCAATATTTTTAAATCAATCTTTCAATTAAAACGCACCTAAAATATCCACCAGTTCAGCTTCCATGTGCGAGCTAGGTTGAAATTTCTTTTCTTCCTTATCTTCGCTATCCGCTGTTTCCTCATCCCGATTTTCCTCGTCTTTGGAGCCGCCATTGTCAACTCCGGCATACGGATTGCCATTATTGCCATTGTTTGAGTGTGGTGCTTTTCTGCTGGAGGTTGAAGACATAGAGCGTCCATTTTGCTGCGTTGAGTTACCACCCCGTGTGGTGCTTCCAACACTTCCAGCTATAGTGCGTCTATTTGCGGCAGCACCGCTATTGTTATTGCGCTGGGGTATTGTGCTTTTTCCTACACCACCGGTGAGCTTCTTATTGGGTATACTGCTTCGACTACGACTGGGTACGGCAGGCCTATGGTAACTAGAATAACATTCACATTCACATTAATAAAACAAAGTATGACATACTTTTCTGAGCGTGGAGGCCCCCATACATCCGGATCTCTCGGTGGCGGTGTCCAAATATCCGGATCAGGCCGAAACCATGCGGCTGGGTCTTTTGTTTCATCTTCACTAATTTGAGTTTTCAGTTTGTGTGCAAACGGTGTATTCTGCAAATCTAAAGTCATTTCGGAAAGCGTTCGTTGTATGGCTTTAATTTGGGAGTATTCTTTTTCTATCTGCTGGGCGATCTGCATACAAAAGGTAGGAGTTAATAAAACAATTCATAAACTGAAAGTATCTATTCTACTCACCAATTTCCATTTGCTCTTACGCAGTGAATCAGTTGTCGATTTAACCATGCGATCCAGCATGCCGCCCAGCCCTTCGTAGTAGATGCAGGCCGAATCATAGTTGCCGGTATACGCCATGTCGCGCGCCAGCTTTGCATTCTCACATATTTCCGCTATTGAAGTTTTGGCCATCACGGTCATTCCTACATAAGATTTCGTCTTTTGCTTTCCACCTCTTAATAGCTGCATTAATATGAACAGAAACAATGTCGCGCGATCGAACACGCACAAGTCAAGGCAATAGGGGAAAGGCCGCAACAAACATTGGGAGTGTTGGAATGACAAAGCAATGGCAGCGTCGGTGTCGCCGACGTATTCAATCGTTCATATAACGGCAATGGCCACAAACGAAAAGGTGAGCATTGGGAAAGTACATAAAAAAAGAACAAAGACTTTAGTCAAAATGGAAAGTGAGACCGACGAATACCAGCTCTACGACGCCAATTAAATTGACATATAGTAGCAGCAGCAATGGAAATAAAGCAAATTTGTTTCTTTATTTGCCGCAACAATGCAGGTGGTTGCAATGCGAAAAAAAAACAAATTATTTCGACTTATTTCGTAATTTTAGTATCCCCGCCCTTACTTTTGCTATCTTTACTAAATTTTACCTAAAAATAACCATTAATGTCGTATTTTTCTTATTGCATTATTCACTTTGCTGCCACTATTCGCTTTCGTCAGTCTTGATTTTTTCTTAAACTATCTTTATACGGAAGTAGCGGAAGTGTCCCCGCTCTACTTACGGTTATTGACATTAGATCGCGCCTTTTTCATACACTACCAACTTTCAAATCTTTATTTCTATACTAATTCTACGTTTTTAGACCTATTTATAAATTTAGAGTAATATTTTATTTTATTTTGGCCGTTAAATAAACGGGTGTAAGATTTTCTCACTACTTGTTCTTCTCGTTTCTTTTTTGTGCTTTGTTTTGTCTTCTTCGCAAATGTCAAACGGATCGTTTTCAGTCAGTATTGCCAACTTCTGAGTTTCAAAAAGCACCAAAACTTGGGGAAAAAAGCGTTTTACCGTACGAAATCACTAATTTTTTTATACCAAAGGATACCTTTTTTCATAACAGTTTGTATTTAACAAAAGTAAAAAAAAAATAATATTTATAAGTATAATTCAATACACAAAGCTTTTTCTCATGCTAACGAAGTAATACCGAAGTAGGTACTGCAGATTAAAACTGGTATATTTAGAGAAAGAAAAATCGAATCGCAACAAACGAAAAAATGAATGTAGATTCTTTTAAATGCAGTGCTGCTACAGCTTTAAATATTTCAAATTATTTCATGTTCTAACTATCTATGAGAAATTTGAGTTCAGAAGAAGAGCACTAAAAAAGGCACTAGGCACTAAACAATTTTTTTGGCGTTTTAATTAATTTAATTATCTAGTGCTTAAAGCAACAAGTTGGCAACTATGTTTTCAGTGTTGCTTTCAGTGTTGCCATAAAAATTTTTTCTACCAAAGTATTCTACCCAAGGCGAATTTATACAAGGTGGTGTTGATGGCATGATAAAAATATAATAAGGTAGAACCGCTGAGAGTCACTTTTAAAATTCTTGACGTTTCCAAACAATTTAATTTTTAAATTTACTCACAAACTCACACACACATTTTCATTTTCAATCTCAAGCAACAACAATTTCGAACAATTTCAATTTTTTATTTTCACTTTTATATGATTTTAAAATGTTGGCAAACTTCAAAAAAAAAATCATGGCCGACAAATTGAGAGAACGGTTCTACCTTGCTATGTTTTTATCATGGTTGATGGCGAATTTAGATTTTCGACGCGGTACTTCCTAATGTCAAAATGATGTGTTTGTTGTAAACAAGGCGAATTCATATTACAACAAACACACTATTTTGACAAAAGAAAGTACTGCGGACCAAAAACCTACCAACCATATTTTAAGTTTTTAATATTTTCTTTTCAATGTAAAATTTATTAAAAACATATATAACAAAATTTAGTAGTGCAGAATACGGCCCGTTAAGCTAGAACAAAACGAAAAAGTAGGCGTGATGCGCCTTTTTTCCTCATTTTAATGGTATACATTTTTTTTGATGGAAATTTATATTTTCGGTGCTATGGAGCAGCGAAGAGGGAATTTTCGAAAATTTAAAATGGCTATATTTCGAAAAATTCCCGACCGAATTTAAAAAAAGGTAAGCAAAATCCCTTTTTGCTAATGTAACATTTGTATAATTTATGTGCATAATTTTTAAGGAAACTCATTTAATAGAAAAATATTATATTTTTCTAGGAAAAAACCAGTTTTACTAAAAAATATGTGTAAATAATGATACACCAAACTATAATAGGTAAATAGAGCATACAGATACCTTTCATTTAACATACAACTTTATATAGTTAGATTTAAATACCGTGAGGAACTTTGTTTTACTGGTGTTCATGAAAGGAGAAATGACTATACTGATGCTCATGATCGTGAGCGGGACGACTGCGGCAGAAAGAAGTTCTGCGCAAAAATACTCCCGCCGTTTTCTTTGGTAATAAAGAAATGAGAGTTCTACTGCCTGATGGTTATAATCCCTAAGTGCGGCCGAAGGCCGCCTACGCTGAAAGGTGTTCTCTGCAAAAGGTGGTCAGCCCCCCCTTTTTTTTGGCAACACCGTAAGGAGAATTCTACTGCCTGCAGGTTATAATCCCTAAGTGCGGTCAAAGGCCGCCTACGCAGAAAGGTGTTCTCTGCAAAAGGTGGTCAACCCCCTTCGTTGGCAACACAGAAAGGAGAATTCTACTGCCTGTGGGTTATAATTCCTAAGTGCGGCCGAAAGCCCTATGCAGAAAGGTGTTCTCTGCAAAAGGTGGTCAACCCCCTTCTTTGGCAACACAGAAAGGAGAATTCTACTGCTTGATTTTTCTGAAAATTTATCCACATAAAGTATATTAATATGTATATTAAAAAAAGGTATTTTATTTACCTTTCCAACGATTCCAATTTTTTTTAATTCGGTCAGGAATTTTTTGAAATATAGACATTTTGACTTTTCGAAAATTCCCCCCTCACCCCTCCATATCACCGAAAATATAAGTTTGCAAATCGTTCAAAATTAAGTAAATGCTTAGCCAAAATACTTCTCTTTTTAGAAAGTTCAAAAACAAACACAAGTTATACAAACAAAACAGGATTTACCATTAACATATGTATGTATTTTGGCCTAAATGTGTGCATATTTGAATATGACGTCGGCATCACACTAAAAAACAAAATTTTTAATTCAAATTAAAAAATTCCAATAATTTCAAAATAATTGGTAGAGATGATCGATAGTCCTACTAAACTATCGATATTTTCGATAGTATAAGAAAAAACTATCAATGAGTATTGATTGTCCTAAAAACATTGAAACTATCGATACTATCGATAGTGCCATCGATAGTTTGACAACTCTATTATCGAACACATTTGACATTTCAGGAGAACACGCATTCTTCCTATTTCGTGAAAAGAAAATTATTTATTTATTTTATCAGCTCTTCCAGTTGCGGCTTGAAGAGTCACCATGACACCTTTGACACAAAATGGTATTGAAGAGGCATTCGCTAGTGAGGATGCGCTAAAGCATGCAGCCACCAAAGTTAGTACTAGTAAGTGCACACACATTCTATCAGCAAGATGAGATTTTTGTTTTTACTTACAATCCTAATTCACGCTTAGATATCATCAATGGCGTCTATGATATATCACATGTTGTGGAGCAAATGGGTTTTGCTCTGACTTCACCAACATTAGAGCAGCGCGTTAATGGAACGAAGCTTCTTTCTTTTGTGCTGCAAGCTTTACCCAAGGACTATCTCGATAGAAAGCAACTAGAGTTCGTTGCTGATTTTTACACGGATCGGTTGAAAGACCAACATAGTGTGCTACCTGCTGTGATCGATGGCATCCATGCATTAGTGGAAATGAAGGAATTGCCCGCGGAATGTGTGCCAAAAATTTTGAATACATTCTTCAAACACACCTCTTGCCAGTCACATCAACGTGCTGAACGGGGGAAGTGGTTTAAAATTTTAAAATTCTTAGCAGAGCAGTATGAGAAAGGTAGACTTTTCAAGTAGTATACGAGCTTAAATAATATTTGATTTGTTTAAATTTGTATTATAGAGCTAAAGCAAATGTCTGGCGATTTTATGTATGGATTGATAAATTCTATCGATGGCGAACGCGATCCCCGAAATTTAGATTTTATCTTCACTTTCATGCCTGACTTGATAAAACGCTTTTCGCTTTTACATTTGGGCGAAGAAATGTTTGAAATATTTGCCTGTTATTTCCCAATTGATTTCACTCCGAATCGCGAGGATCCCAGCGATATTTCGCGCGACAATTTGGCTGCCAAACTAGCGGACTGTTTGGTAGCATCACCTGAATTTATTGAGTGGGTAGTACCATTGGCATTGGAAAAATTGGAGAGTGATTTAGTCGTCGCGAAACTGGACTCGTTGGACCTACTTGTGAGAGCCCTTGCCGTATTTTATTATGTACAATTATTAATATATTAAATTACAGCGTAAATCAGCACTTAAGTTTACACCGAAACTACTATCTCAGCATTTTGAACCCATCTGGACAGCATTAAAGAACGAAATATTCCCTGGTGGTGATAATACAGATATTGTTTCGGGTGGTCTTGTGCTATTGCGCACAATTTTGGAGCAGGCATACTCAACTCCAGATATTAGCCATAGTTACCAAACCACTGTCCTAGGCACCATTTTGCCGCACCTAAGCGATGTCAACCAGCGCCTCTACAATCCGTCGGCGGCAATTGCATTGGTTTGCGTTGCGGGCGATCCGCTTTTTGCAAGCGGTCGTATACTTAACACTTTTCTATTGAAACTTAACACCAAAATAGCAAGTACTGACCGAGAGGGCAAAGAAGAGGCGTTCACAGAAACCTCCTCCTACAACGAAGAGCAACGGATCAAAGTGTATACGATAATCGCTCAACTTTTCAAGATAGCTGCATTACGAAATTGTTTGGAGCAGCTCAACAAAGAGACATGTGAACAAATACACACTGACGTTATTGAAGTTTTACGCCTAAAAATAAACTCCGATGCCCAAGAACAAAATATCGACCTAAAACACGCTGCGCTAAGTGTGCTTACCGAAAGTGTACCTGTGATCAGTGAACCAAAGCGCGCGCTCCTTTACAAAGTGCTCCTACAACTTGTTACCCATGATTCACTTGAGTTGCGATGTATAGAACTTCTGGAGTTATTGGGCGCTTGCCATCCCGTCGAAGTGCAGTCAAATTGCATCGATGTGCTAGCACGCAACTTTTCTATATATCCGAATTTCGTAAAGCGCAAAGTATTCCAGCATTTGCTACCTTTAGTGGTACAAGCAGCATTTACATCGCGCGTACTTGATTTGGTGTGGTACTACGCTTTCGGACATGATATACCACATGATGTGCAACTAATCGCGCTTGAAGCGCTTAATATGCTTTTAAATAGTAATGACAAATGTCTCATCGTTGAACTGCAGGCTAATAATTGCCTTATTGCCAAGCTAGTTGCATTGGCTTTGGGGCCCGCACCACTTACAATACCTGTGTTGGAGCAAATAGCAGCAGCACTTTGTCGTATCGAACAACATTTGTCTGTTTCAGAACAATACATAATTGCAACTGAGTACCTGTCCCAGCTGAAATTGCAGTCTGCAGCCCACTTATATGTGGCTAAAGGGCTACTAAGTCGCTTGCATCAAGACATAACACTAGATGACTTCCTGGAGTGGCTACTGAGAGATTTGACGCAGGTGTCATTAAGCACTGACGAAGTGGATGATAAGAAAGAAAACATACGCACCGTTGCACGCCAGTTGCTTTGCAGCCTGGTTAACCGGATAGAAGAAAACGAAAAAAATCGTTCGAATTTAAATAAGATTTTAGCGATGTTGAAAAATCAAATTAAGGATGAAAACGCATTGGCTGTAGAGACACTAGCATGGTTGGCCAAAGGACTAATTGTATGCGGCAGCGAGCTAATAGCCGAAATTATTGAAACAGTGAGAGAATAGCGAAGTAAAGCCTTTAAATAGTCGATTAATTATGTTTTTATTTTTTTAGCTTACCGAATTGTTGGACCATCCCACCTTGGCCTCGGGTGCAACTACCGCGTTTAAAATAATAGCTGCAGAATGTGATGAGCTATTTCTAACTAGAGTAAAATTTCTATACAAGCAAAAGCTTTTCGTTGTGGTTTTGAACAAGTTAGGCGCTAAGCTAGAAGCACATTCCGAACGTCATCTTATTGCTTTTATATATGTGTTGAAAAGTGCGCCTCATGTCGTGCAGAAGATGAACATTGAGAAGGTTTGTTGGAATTAGATGCGCACTCATATAATTCCAGAAAATTATTATCACCTTTTATTTCAGATTGGTCCATTGCTATTTAAATCGCTTGAATACGATCACACCAATATGCTGTGTATTTCTCTAGATATTTGTGAGCGATTTGTCGCAGCAGGAGATGAATACTTTCTTAGACATTTGAATCATATAATACCGAGCTGTTTACAGTTAGCAAAATACCAAAAATCTATGGTAAGTGCAAAACTGCAGAGGTACATACATAAATATAGTAAGGTTTGCAAGCTGCTGGAATTCCTAAGATTTTCACAATTATTCCTTGAGAAAAATTCACTTTTGTATTTATATTTGTCCGGTTTCTCATCCAAAGGACATTGTTTAAACGACTATTTGGATTGAAACCCGTAAAAATGCTATCACATTTTTATATTTAATTTATCGTTCTCCTTATACAACTTGCAGAAAGTGCGCATCGGTGCTTTAAATCTTCTACACGATATTACCAAATATCCAACGCATGTGCTGTTAACGCATAAACTTGATGTCGTGCTGGAACTGGCGGTACCATTAGATGACCGTAAGCGGTTAGTTCGCAATGCAGCTGTTCGTACGCGAAACGCCTGGTATTTGGTGGGTACAAACGCTGCCAGCGAGTAAATGCACAAGTGGCCGCTGTGATGCATCGGACGGATACGCTATTTTTTCGTTTTTTTTTTTTTATTATTTAGGTTCGATTTACTATAAAGTTCATATAGACAAGTACAATAACATATTAGTAAAATAGACAAAAACAAATGCAAAGACGTAAATATCTAAAAATGCGTGTTTGTATACGCGAAAGAGTTAAAAAAAAACTCTTTTAATTGTAAATACATTTTACAAGGAACTGATAAATAAATAAAAAAAAAATCGCAACAAAACACATTAAAACGCGTAATTTTTAGTTGGCTAAATCGTTAATATTTATTCCAAAACCACGAATTTGAACAAATTTTTGTTACTTATATCAATATGAAGCATTTCAAAAACGTATTCACGTATGCCACAGGTCACCTGGAGTGATAGTGGGCTACAAAACATATGCAAATAAATTTCGCAAATGTACACACCTGTGTATGAAAGTATATATGTGTGTGTAAATGAGCCCATGTCGTTGCGGTACCATAGAACCGACTATTATTATGGGAACGCTTGTGATCAGATCGCTGATGGTCGAGTGTGTGTTTGTTTGTATTTTAGGTATGTATGTTTTTGTACATATGCTAGCATGCCTAACGCTAGTACGGGTGGTCACACAGTGCACGCGCCATAAGCGCACATTTCTGCGCGCGCTGCACCATATCCGGACAACGTTGCTTGCGTACCAAACGGCAGTCTTGAAAGAAACCTTCATTGCGGGGAAAGCCGTGTGTGAAATCGCGAAACGTTAGCAGGCCGAATCCCCAGATTTTGCCACCACGAAATTCACCCTCAAATTTCATGCCATCGGAACGCCAAAATATGCCGAAACCATGAAACCAGCCTTGCATAAATTCTCCCTCGTATCTATGTATGTATGTAAGGTGAACAACAAACACATTAATTTTACAATTTTCGCCTATGTCGAAGTGATATCCTTGCTTACTTGGCTCCATCAGAAAACCAAAGGCAACCAAGGCCATGACTCACACCATCGTGGAATTGGCCATCGTAGCGCGTACCATCGGCAAATTGTAAATGTCCGACGCCATGTTTTTGGCCACGCTGATCCCATTCACCAATGTAACGTGTAGAGTCCTCATATCGCCAACCACCGACCTTCACAGCGCCAAACGAAGTGTTGTGGTCTTTGCGCTGGCCACCCGTTAGGCCAGCAGCGCCGCGTCGTACTTCGCCTACAACACCTGCAATAACAACGAGGTCAGGCAATTGATTGGAATACCTAGTAAATGATTGAAGTTTTTGTTGATGTGAGCTTACTTTGATCCTCGTAGTCGTCCATGCTGGCCTATGGGTTTGCTTTTGTGGAAGCTGTTAAAAGTTTTATTGAATTATTTTTAACTAAAATGCAGAGTGCAATGAAAATGCAATGTAAACTGACTGCTAAATGCTGCTGGAATGGAATGCAGTGAAAATCCACTCAAATTCTTAAGTGCCGCACTACACTTGATTGTGTAGCTCACATCGGTTTACTTAGAACAGAGCTGAGGCAAACAATATAAATATTGGGCCAAACACCAAATTTCGTTCAGGTAAAATTGTATAGTCAATTAACACAAAAACTTAATTCCTAAACATATTTCATATATTAAAAAGAAATAATATACATAAATTTAGTTCCGAACATAAAATACATATTAGAGATCTTCAAGAGAATTCGATGAATATTTTTAAAGTAATTGTGAAAGAAACACTAAACAATTTAATAAACTAAAATATGATTTAGCCTAGTTTAGCGAACAGCAAGTACCACATTAACGCCCAGTAATGATTCTACTTGTTTGGCTTCGCAGCTAGCAGCAACATTGAGTGGTTTTCCGCATCCAAATCTAATTAGCATATACGACTGGAAAGCGTCAATGTTTTCTCAAGTTTCTTACGCTTTTGCTCACCTTTTCAGTGACTACTTGACACTTCGGTTGAATGCCACATTGGGTGAGCTCAGCGAACAACAGCAAACTAAATAATTTCCGGTCCTGGGACAAAATCCATGCAGCTTGATGAATGCAAGTACTGGAGGGATAGTATGGCAGAATAGATGTTTGGAAACTTTTGGTCGAAGAGTGAAACCAAATGTTGGATTGTTGTAGCAGCATAAAACTTGTTGTCGAATACTGCTCATGGGGGCAGTCCTTGGCCAAAGGTACGTAAATCTGGGCCGTTCCTGTTAGAATGGTCATCATATGCACGATTGTTTCAGAAATGGAAGTTTTTTCCGCCTCCGCTTGACATGGGAACGAGCAAATTACTATTACCGTGAAATGAAAATATGTATTCCGGTTTCAATGGTGTCGGAGTTCGTCTGAAAAGTTGTTTCAATTATTGCCAGCAGTTGACAGATTTTTTGGGCAAGTATCTTTAATTACCGGCAGGTGAAGATGCCGGGAAGTGCTATCATATTGAGTTCTACATACCTCACTCACCTGCGACCAAGTGTGAAACAATGTGCCCGTGTATTTTGCTTCAAAATTGCGCTGCGAAAATTTACCAGATACGACGAGTATGCTTATGTAGTGTCTGTGAATCCTCTGTGTCGGCTACCAGCTTCTATATGCATCATTGTTCTGGTCACAAACGCGTGAATGCTATTTCAAATACTTTATGAACTGTCAACTGCTCTAAGTTCGAGTACTTTCGAATTTTAGTCAATGCAAATGAAAAAGCTTCAAAGCCCGGCCTACACTTATCGTGCGGGGAATGGAATTTTGACTATCCTTTGCTCATCACTAGCGAATTAAATGCAATACATATACTTTTTTTTACTGGCCGACTTCTGCAGCATTTCCGTAGATTTCCAGTTGAGCATCAGTAAAGTAACAAGGTAACATCATCACATCGTTCAAAGAAATGTATACACAACGTGGTTTTCTCTTTTAATATTTTATTTTTATTAATATAGTAGAGTATATAGTACTTAAAACAGTTTAGTGAATTTCAACATTTTTACATTTAATTGAAACGGCTTGACAATTTCGCTTGAGTTGGTTTTTTTTTCAATAACAAAAAAGTAATTAATCTTAACTAAAATGATAGAATATAATGATTTCTTGACAAAAGGACTATAAAAGCAGTGTATGCATAAAGGATATCATAATTTATTTGCAAATCAATTACATATGTATGTATAAAGCGAGATTGCTTTCAAGGTAGCCTTAAAGGTATACAATATATATTTGTAAGCTGAATAGATATATATATTTACTATTACTACTAGTATTTTCCATAAGATTTAAGATTTTAGTATATTTGTTTTCTTTTAGTTTGGAAATACAATAATGTTAATTGATTGTATGTGTTTTATTAAAGATCTATTAATGTGCCAATAAATAAACAGCAAACTTCATTCCATGCGTCGCTGAAATTAATAATCAAAATTAAATTCAAAATATAAAGTATGATTTTGTTTACAAATAAAATTCTTTTAAAAATGTTAATGTCGTACAATTGCCAAATTTCTTTTAAAATCTTAAGCTATTTTAATTCTCACTGTTTAATATTTTAACTATACGCCCAACTTCAAATTTTCTCTACATAATTTTTTTTTTGCTTTAGATCTTTAAGTGCCGAAATTATTATGCCACTCGCTTGTCATCATAACCTGCTACTGAACGTAGATGTGTATATGTATACATTTATTATTGGATGCATGGTTTTACATATATTTTAGAGCAATGCAAATGTGCCTATGTATGTAGTGAAACTAACTAAATATCTGATATCATGTCAATTGCTTTATTATATATTGGCTCAATCCCCATTTATCTGTGAAAGCAAACAAAGCTAATATTAGTAATATTAGTTCATCATTAATATTTCTTCGTTTGCTTCATTTACATACCAGTTCATTTAGCCTTTTACATCCATTAATAATATGTATGAATGTTTTTACACGTATGTATTTATATATGTATATATTAAGTTGTTGGATAGTGCATTCTATTTGACGCACGATTGGCATTCATTTACAGCTTCTTCAAGTAGGCAGCACACTTGACAGCGCTGCTAACCTGGCCCGTATTGAGGAGATTCAATTTCTTATGCTTTGCACGGAACTTCCTCACGTAAGCGTCGATCAGATTCTTGATTTTGTGTGGGTTTATCTCACCCGAACGGCTGTGACAGATCTACGATAAATTAAATTGACAAATTAAATTTAAATAATCAAATGATATGTAATTACATATAGAGCGGTTATACGAGAGTATGAAAACAATTCTTAACAAACCTTTGGCACAGCCCGTCGCATAATTTCTTTGTAGTCATCTTTCGTGATCTGTTTCTTGTTGAATCGTGGCTTTAGGACAAATTTAACTTCCTCTACAACCCGTTCTTGGCGATTCAGCTTACGCAAAAACTGTTTAATGTGGAAATAAAAAAAATCGTAAGAGAATTTTGTGATTGAATTGAACACTTAAATATGTAAATAATTTGCAAAGAAAAATTTCCAGTACCGATTTCTTTCCCATTATTTTTATCATATACATAGATATCTGTGTTCGTATGGAATAGTAGCTTATGTCGAAAGGCTGGCTTTAGTATAATGCGGCATTCGCACCATACGATTGCGAATGACTCACTGGCGTCGAGCCGTTAAAGAACTTTTGGCAAATAAACGTGTAAGAAATAGTTCCGATATTAGCAAGTCAGTATTGTTGTTAAATTTCTTCAAAGAATTCCTTGCCATTTAAAGAATAAAGAATAAAAAGATACAAAGTGTATCGGTAAAAATTGCATTGCAGCATTGAGCTTCGCATTCCTTCTTGAAAAATCTAGCGTTTTATGTTTTTAAATAGCTAAGCAATTAAGTACTCTATCTAATCTGCCCTTCAAACAAATTTTTTTCAGAATAAAATTTGTGTTTAAGGGGCAGATAATTTTTAATACCTACTTGTGAAAACGGCCTTAAGAGTGTTGCACTTTACTTAAAATTGATAACAGCTATGTATCTACATATATATTCACGTTATTTGTTCAGCGGTGCTCGAATTCAAACGCTAAAAATAGGTTTGTTCGTCGCAAGTCCAGCAAAAATTTTCCAACACTCAAAATACATACCAGAGAGTAAGAAAAATTCTCTCTCATGTTGAGAAACTTGCAAATTTCTGCACGAACGCAAATTTGCAAGAATTTGCAAGTTTCCCTGCCAGCTGGTGTCCATTTGGTTGCATTTCAAACATAAAAAATTTTAATGGAATTTTTAAAATTCTATCGGATGGCCAAAAACAGGATATACATGTATATTTCTTGTTGTTCTGACTTTCTTTAACATACATTTCGGGTCGGGTTTCTTAAATCGACTCTGGTTGCAATTGCATTCCGATTGCGAATACAATTTTTTTCAGCCGAGTTAAGTTCAAATCATTGGAATTAACTAAATTAATTATATCAACAATTATTTACTTCCTTTTTTCATAAAAAAATCGCTCGTGTTTATAAATTTTTAAATTTAACGAGCTAATTTATTCAAATTATTGCAGACAAAAATGCAACCATGCGCCACAACCACATGTTTTTCGTGTTTGCAAATTCTTGTTGGCAAAATTTTTTTTTCCAGCAAGAATTTGCAACTTCTCCCCAAGATAACTGTCACTTTGCTCTCAAAATTTTTGAGTGTTGGATAATTTTTTGGTCTGCACGAACGCGATTTGGCCAAAAATCTTTCTTTTATCCTTTTTGACAAATTTTCGCAAGAAATTTACAATTTTTTGGTTAGATATGGAGCGTATAAATCATTGCAGTTCCGTAAAACGTAATGTCACAAAAAATAGAATTTCTCAAAGCAAAATCTTATGCTGTAGTGGGCATACAATCGTTTCAAAAGATCAGACAAAATGGTTCCATAAATCGTATTTTTTTTCTAATTGGATTCATAATAAAAAGCTCGATATTTGGGTTCCGCGAATAGGCATTTGCGATTTTCTGCTGAAACGTTCTTTTTTTGGATCCCTTACAACAGTGTGCAAAATAAAGGGTCTTGATTCCGACTCACAGTGGCGGCCGAAATCCAAATGTGCGGCCAAAATTCGAAGCTTAAAAAAAATAATTCGAAATTTTGTACTAGGGAGGTTTCAGGGTCGCTAAATACGAATCCGCTGTCAGAATTACAAAATTCAAAATGGTGTATCCCGTATGGCGTCTGGTAAATTTCGATCTTTTTAATTAATTTCTCAGAAAGATTCTGAGTATTCAAGTCTAGTGTCACAAGGTATAAGTTTGAAGTATTTAGCTAGAACTTACCGTTGATTTTTGGCTTTTTTTTCTTGACAGTGCCACTCATTTTCTTCCATACGAAGTACATATGTTCGATGATATGAAGAAAATGAGCAACACCTTAGCTAATACTTTTCTAAGTAACCTCCAATACGTAAGCTTTTTAAAAATAATTCTTCACTCTTATTCCTTTGGCTGTTTCAGAATTTCGGGAATCTGTAACTTCATCGGCGTTTTTCGATTTTAGTTTTTGTAATTCATTTTTAATACCTTCTTCTGCGACTGGTTTGAAAAATGTGTGCTTATAGCGAGCTAAATAGGTGGATATGAATGAAAATTTTGAACAAAATTCTGTTTTCAAAGTCGTGGCTGCCGCCCGAATCGAATCTGTATATTGTTATTTTTTTAAAAAAGTACCCCGTTTTTTTTAAAGCTACGTAGTTCTTATCTAATTAAAAGTAATTTTATAATTTGAGCATCAATTCTCTTTATAGCCAGACGTTAATCATTTCTGCTGGAAATCCCCGTTGAAGGAGCTTACTCTTTGAATTTCAATAACGAAAAGAAGGGACAGCTTTACCACAGAAGTTTTTAGCCAAGGATCCAATGTATATTCCTATGAAAAAAATATTGCCGGACAAGTAAACAAAATTACTGTTTTTAATATTTTTGCTAAAAATAAATTCCCCAAAGAGGCCCATTTGCAATTATTGAAACAAATATACGCGTAACATCAAAAGTAAATCACGAAAATTTGTTTAAGAATTCTAGTGCACACTTTCCTCTTTTGTGTATAGTAGATTTTTAAGATTCGTCCAAAAAAAATCATAATAAAGAAAGAAACCAATGCAGGTACTTAAATCACAGAAAAAAAAATTTTTAAAAAGACTACGTACGTCAAAGGTCAAGTAGAAGTGGGAACTTGTATGATACCACGGTTATATAGCTTAAGAAATAATCACCCTCTTCGCGAAAGTCGCGTCGAATGCAAGTCGTTTTTCGAGAGTCGAGTCGTATCGAAAATTCCTCGCCATTGCCAAAAATTTCCACTCGACTAGTGTATTAAAACGGAAAAACTTGGCAGCACTGTATAGTTCTCGACGATTTTAGTCGTTTACTTATTTCATTACGACAATAGACAATGCTACTGTTGTCGAGTCGTATAATTTAGCCTAATTTACGACATACGCAATAAGGCTGAATATGTTTAAAGAGATTTTTATCAAAGTTGATAAATATGACATTTGACCAGTTTTGTTACACAAATACTCCCACGACCACAGACAAAAATATTGGCTACAATTTGTCATTTTGTTTGCCATATATACGTTTTATCCGCATTGATTATTGCAAATGCGAAAGCGAATGCGAATGTTAAAATTAATGCAATGCGAATCGGAACAACCCTGCTTCAGACGTAGATTCCGTTTGGTTTTGTTGGATTTCCTTTACCCAAATTACTTTACATGTTGATAACTTTTCCCTTGGAATCTACCATAATGTAGCGCTTGGGTGAAGACCACATTCTAACTGAAAATAAAGAGAGGACTTGGGGTACAGGTCGTTACTATGAACGGGTTTCGCTTCTAGAGGATCCCTTTAGCCAACGTAATGATGAAAAAGAACTACATATCTAAAAACTTTTTTTTCAATTTTGGCCCCACTTTTGGATTCCGGCCGCACTGTGCAACGTAGTGATTTAATTTATCTCAAATGATGAATGATGGATGGGAGAGCTGGAAATTCTTGGTAGTGAAATTTTTACTAGCAGCAATTG